AACAACAATAGCAGCAACAGCAACAGCAACAACAACAACACGAGAAACTGCAATGACAACAACGTTGACGAGGACGACCATCAACCACTAACACCGACAGAGTAGCAACCAAATGACCAATGAACCAGCCGCAACTCACACACACGCACACACACCCACACACACACACACACATCGTGACTCATTCTGCATGCTGTCTGTGGGGAGCTTGTCGCATGTTGTCCTTTTTGCTGCCGTCGCTGGTCAATGTTGATGCTGATAAGTAGCAAAACATGAGGTCGCCAGTAATTATGCGAGTGTTGCAAGTTAATTGCAATTGTGTGCAACTGACGGTAGCAAGATTAATTAAATTCATACATGCACGCGCACAACTGCAACCAGCAACCAGCCACCAGCCAGAGAGGAACCGGCAACCAGCAACCAGCAACCGGCAACGTGCAACGTGCAACGTGCAACCTGCAAGCGGCAGGCAACAGCGTTTGAAGGACTCGTATGCAATACATATAGATGCCATCACTCAATGCCAGGCGAGTCAATCTGTTTATTTGTTTATGCAGCACACACCCACACCCACACCCACACCCACACCCCACACACCCACACACTCACACCCACACACGCACACACATACACATAGGCGCATACACCAAGCGCATTGTTCAAGTTTACTAATTTCATGCGTGGCAATGTTTTTACATTCAAATCCATAAACTTGACCCACTCGCAGCCCTTCGGCCCCCAACGCGCATTTGTATTAGTTAAGTGATTTATTGTCGCAAAATTGTCATTAAAAATTAATGATGCTGCTGCTGTTGGTGTTGGTGTTGCTGTTGCTGTTGCTGTTGCTGTTGCTGCTGTGCTTTGCATTTTATTGTAATATGATTTACATGCTGACCACGACATCGTTCGCATTGGGCGTGTCAGGCCCATAAACCGACCAACGGCAGTTTGACATTTAAGCCATACAATTTATGAACTACACAAAATGTGCTCTACTTAAATCAATTGATAGCTTTTAATTAGTGTTTGCATTGTGTACATGAGCCGAAAGAGACTGCAAAAAAGAAAGAGAGAGAATCTGAAATAGAGAGTGAGGTGTGAGACAGCTTAAAATCAACTTGGAGCTAAGCTGCAGCTGCTTGACACAAAAACCATTCTTGGCAGCTGGCCGTCAGCAAGCTTTGTCTGTAGATATAGTTCATGGGGACAGGTTAACAGTTAGTTAGTTAAGTGTTAAGTTAGCAAGTGTGCTCTCAGTTAATAAGCCCAATTAGACTTGCCTGACCTGTGTACAGATTGTTGCCCAAAATGCTACTCAATTATCACTTAAGTAACTCCGACTTTGCCCAGCTGTCAAATTATTTAAGTGGAATACAGGGAATGCAATTATTATATCCTGTAGTCATAGATGACAGTTCAGGGTATATTGGTTCTGTCAAAAGTGTGTGAAGTCAGTAGGAAAAGGTGTGGCAAACTCTATATATAGTCCATATCGCTATAGCTATGTTTGGCTGTACGTTAGTCTATATGTCCATCTGCCCATCTCTCCACCCTTCTCCGATATGAAGTGATCTCGTGACATACAAATTCTAGGGAAGTGATTTTATTGATTTATTAACATATACAGAAAATACATTTTAATCCATATCATCAACAACTTATCCGATTTCCATACTATTGATGAAAATCGAAATCTCAATAATAGAGTAGCTTGAATACCAGAATAGCTGGACGTGTTAAATATCGGAATATAATCATCATTATAATATGGAATGAATACATATATATGTTTAGTACATATTAATGGGATTTCCTGCCCATTAAAAAAAGCACACACACACATATGTATATACGTATTTAACAAACTAGAGATCTGTGCTTTGACAAATTTACACACACCAGATCAAACCCCATTTTACCTAGAAATTTCATCTAGAAAAGAAGTTATTTAACAATTAAGTTTCAATTATAAGACCCATAAGCGCTGTTCTAGCGCAGTCAGCAGAGCGCCTGTTTATGTGTGCGTGTGATTGTGCATGTGTGTTTGCAACGCACATGTCCAGTTCCTACGTGTGCTTACAACCCTTCAAACTTGAGTAATTCGAGGAACTTTGGCTTTGTCACTTTGTTATTCCGTTTTCCGCTTTATTTATTCTCATGCATTTCCCAGAATGCTATAGGACACAACATGCACTCACTTTATGCCTCACACTCAATTCAATTCAATTCAATTCAATTCGAGCTCAATCAATTTGACGCATGCTGTGAGTGAAGCCATGAAGATCTCTTGAGAGACAAAGAATAGTAGTGTTTGGAATAGCAGCACTAAATATCTTTTTAGCTAAATATATTATCTTACTTAATATTGTCAGAAATGTTCTATAGATTTGTTACGGGCCGACCACTCCCCCTCCTTTAAAAGTTCAGTGCAGAATCGAAAATATATGTGTTTATCTTAATTTTGCAATGAATTTTTAAAATATTCGCTTATAGACCAGCACACAGAAGGCCATACACACACACATACACACACACAGATTGAGGGCATTATGGCCAAAATGTATTTATATGTTAATGCATATTGGGCGCAGAAATAAGTTTTAAATATGTATTAATTTAAGTCATAATTGGCAAATCCCTAGCTGCACTGAAAATTTGCTATGTTCACTAAAAAGCTTTGGCGAACCGTAGCAAATATGAGAAATATGAAACAGTGACAAAACCAAAAACAAAAATGAGGCTGTAGCAGACTGTGGAATACCTTGTAATTGCAGATAGATACGGGGCAAGGAGATTGAACGGCTTGAAACCAATCTCTGCATAGGTAAATTGTGGCCTGGTTGAGGTAAATGGAAAGTGAATTGCCTCTATTCGTTTGATATACCTCGTTTAAAAGTGAGTGTGATTCACAACTAAACGAATATTTCATCTTTTCACTCGTTTCTTACTTTAATTTAATTGTTTATTCGTTTTTATACGGGCAGCCGAACGGACACTGCGCAGAGCCAATATGCTCTCGTTTCGCTTTGTGAACCTGTGTGCACATTGTAGCTTGTGAAATTAATGCAAATATTTATACAAATTATTATGTGATATGGTGGCGCACACACACACACTTCTACTCCTTCAACAACAACAGCAACAACAAAAAAAAAAAAAAAAAACTTGTTTTGGTTTCGGGGCTATTTTTCATATCATATCCCAGGCGACGCTTATATACAATAATTTCCCTTTTGGCCATAAAAGTTTATTATTCATGGCAGAGTAGAACGATATGCTCGTGTTCGTGACACGCAAAAGCACGACTAAACACGCGATAGAAATATCGCCAACAGATTTAGATACTGCTGTTCGACTTCTTTGAATATTCTAATCCATTTGGTAAACATTGTAATCAATGGACTATGGTTTACTTTGTTGCGTGGTCGAACTTCATGTTGAGATCTTTGTTTTCTCTTCAAGTGCCAAACCCTTTAAATTAATCCCTTCTAATGTCAGTAAAATGAAACGAAATTAGTGAGAAAAGGTTGTCGAAAACGTTTTTCAAAATACGTTTCCAATCGGTATGTTCTTAATGACAGCCTTGCCTCAATCGAAACTGAAGATAAGAATACATATATAATGGGTTCTATAGAAAGCTGCTACTTCAGAAGCTTCTTCAATGTCAAAAATTTCTGTCCAATCTTTACACGATTCCAATGCTCAGCGGGTAGCCAAACAGACTCCAAATATTTGCAGCAAATTATGTTTTATCGTCGTGTCGTGTCTTGGGGCAGTGGCACGACGCGGTCATCTCTATTTCGAGTATGCTATTTAAACGTGATTTAAAATAACCACAACAGATTTTGTGGTTTCATGTTGCATTTTATGTTCGATAAGCGGGGCGTCAGGATGCAAAAGAACAGACGGCAGCAGCGCAGACACGCTGGGTATCAGTTCAATGATAAGCCAGAGGATGAGTTAAAGCTGCTGCTGCTGCTGCGGTCAGAATATTTTAAATCCAGACTGCACGCATCTGCGGCATTTGCTAGCAACTGTTGGCAATTCGATTGTATTGCATTAAATGTGCTTCAACCGGCCGAGAATGCCGTGCATGCAGCTACCCTGTGGGCAGCACTCTGCATGGTTTTTTTTTTTTTTTTTTTTTTTTTTTTTTTGTTCTGCTAGAATTGCCTATGATGATTGAATTTTACAATTTTGTTAAATGGAACAGAGTGATTGCATGCAGAGATGTTTTCTGCTAACTAGCTTACCTCGTATTTGCATTTTATATACATTTATGCGTATAGCACAACAGACTTCAAATCGACGTTGGAGTAGGAATTCTTACTGCATCAATCGAGCGTGCTCAACTCAGAGAAAAGCTGCTGTCAACTGGACTGTCATAGAGCATTTCCGAACTACGGGATCCTAAATCGAGTAAAGGGACATACGAAAAATAGTTGTGCACTATCCTCAAACTACACGCCATGGGAAAATAACAATAGACGCAAACTATTATATGGGAATTTTTAATAATAGTCACAGATCTTCGAGGTTCCATATAGTAGCTCTCTACTACTCACTTATCGCAGTGCAGAATAGATCCACTGGTAGACACAGATGTGATACTCTCAGTTAGCTTGAGCTTATGAGTTCTTCTCACTTAAATGCAATCAGACACTTAAATACATTCGCTCCATTTGGTACAAATGATATTCCATAGACAGAAGTCAACAAACCCAACTTGTTGATGATTGATAATTATTATTATATTATGTGTATTATCTTATATAGTACTATATTTTATATTATTGTATTATTGTATAACAATAAATTATTATCAAGAAGCAAAGAAGTAAAGCTTGACTGTCCAGCACTTTGATCAACTCTTGAAGCCGAAGCTGCGAGGTATATTCTAGTCGCAATTTCTACGCGTGTTGAGTTAATTCCATTCTCTGCAGCATTTCGTGCACTGATTAAAGTGCTGTGCACTATATGAAATAGACGTTTGATTTTGCAACAAATAATAAGCATATTTGATTTATTTTGAACTTGGTAAGATTTTTATATTGACAGATATATGTTTGTTATATAACTATGTTGAACAGATATTGAAAGGAACATGTCATATTTTGCTATCCATTAAAATAATTGGGCGGGCGGCAAAAGAGAAAAGAATTCGAAAAAAATATATATATATTTATTAAGCGTGTACAGTTTGTTAAGGGGAGGGGGGAGAGGTAGGGGGAAGAGAAAGCCCGTTACCATTATACGCACAGCTCGATTGGCTCTTCAGTATATGTGGGAGGCGGGATCAGGAGTTATCAATATTTGATCCATACAATCTATACAAATTGTTATAAGTACGTATATATGTAAGTGTGTTCTCGATATATGTATATATATATATATATATATATATGTATTTATATATATAGTATATATCTACGATTTTGTATATAGTATTTATAAATACAGTATATAGCACGGGTGGGTCTTGCATAATGCCTCTACTACATTAGTAACATTCACTAGCTGACATCTGTTCGGTTGTCGTTAATTATTATTCTTCGATACTTTCTGATTATAAGTAGCTATAGATATTCAATTACGACTAAAGTTTCATTTTTACTATTCGTTTGATATTATTGTTGCTGTGACACTCTCAGGGCGTCTCTTAACTCATTATACAATATATTTATTATTACATACATATATGTATATATATATTCATATATATTTATGATTAATGTCCATTTATGACTTTATCTTACTTATAAGTTACACAAAAAAAATTACAAAAAAAAAAAAAAAAACATTTAACAGGCGTCTTTATAGGGCTCATTAAAAAAAAAATTCACCTTAAATGCTTATTTATGCTTATTTATGTATAATATATTTAAGAGGGTTCTCTTCATATGTATATGTCTCTATATGTACTATATTCGTGTATATATGTGAGTGTGTGTGTGTTTGTATGTATTTAATTGCCTTTTCGTAATGCGCCGTCGATACTCCATTTCTTTTCGCACTCTCTGCCCACTCTGCCTCTCGTTCGCTGTCTATCGCTCTTTTATTATTTAACTTTAAATATATATATACGTATATGTATATATATGTTTAGTGGAAGCTCCTTTTGCAAGCCACGCGCTTCTAACGTCTCACGCTTAGAACTGAGCGCTATGGCATTGACTTTTAGTTTTGTTTCCAACTAGTAGCTGCATGTACAAAGGAAGAAACAAGAGCAAATGGAAGAAGAAGAACAACAAGAAAAAGGAATGAAATGAGAAGAAACACAAATAGGTCAATCGAATGGTCTTATTTGGAATTTGTGTACGTTTAATGCAATCTCTGCTTAACTTATTTGCAAGAATTAGCTTAATCGGACATAACCGACTGCATAATACTCGTTCACGGCGCATAAACAGCGCCATCTATGCAATATTAATATATTCCGATCTGCCTTGCCTTAGTTACATATCATTTAATAAATATATCATTTATGGGACTTTCATTAATTCAACCGCAAAGCTTGATTGTGCTGGTCCAAGATTCAGAAACAATTTATTTTCAGCTTTCTCACAGTCCCAATAGAATAGTTAATCAAAATAACAAACGTCTAGCTTTTATGGCCCCATATGTCGTCATTTATGTTGTAATACCCGATTTGCCACTCCCCCAGTGAATCCAAAAGTTAAAATAAAACTTGATAGTTGATAGAGTGGAGTACCAGAAATCTAGAAACTCTTCAATAGTGTCGAAATGATTTACGTTTTATACAAAGAAACGGATGATCATTATACAAACCCAATACGGTCTTTTGGCATCGTGAACGAGCATTATTTTGCAACAGTTTTATGTATTCCAAGAAATCTTGATTATTAATGCAATAAAATAATTAAGGCAAAATAAACAAATTTGCTGTTCAAACACAATTTGTTGCCAGCCTCGAATAAACGCAGTAATATAATGAATAAAATATAAAACTATATGGTATATATATTTATGACTATATATATATATATTTAGTTTGTATATTATTTATTAGTTAATATATATTCATATATGTATGCATTTAGTGTAGTAATATGCGCTTACCTTTATAATAGACCTCGCGGTACATGGTGGGGCAAGCGGCCTTTGTCTTCGCCGTCTTGAAGTCAATGTTCGTGCGAATGGGTCGATGCAGCAGCGGCTGCGGCGGACGATAGTTGTTGCCCAGCGGAGCCTTGGGATGGTCGGGACTGCCCTGCATCAGGCGGCGCAGTGCGTGCAACTGGAGGAAAAATGCAACAGATACAAAATGAATGAGACTCGAATGAAAACATTTTGCAAAATGCCAGAGTCAGCCTTGCTTAGCCATGCTGGCATAAGACAATATTCTATTTTACGACGTGCTGTCCTAAAAGTGCGGATCAAAGAACTGCAATCGAGTCGTTTCGTTACTTTGTGCCACGAGCTGAGCAAAAACTTGGCCCGAGAGTACAACATTTTCACATAACTTTAAATTGTTGGATGACAGCGAAAAGGCAGGGAGGCAGAGAGAGAGAGAGAGAGGAAGAGCAAAATGTTGTCGCACATGAACAATAATCTGCCTCGCACTGGATAGCCGTTGGGGAGCTGATAACAGTTGATGGCTGATAGGGAAGTATTGCAGCCAATGCTGAACTGAATTACTGCTTAAGCCAAATGAAATATTTTTGGATCGTGACTGCTCTAATATGGAGCCTACAGAAATGGAATACTTATGAAATGCAAAGTTCCATATCCAAGACCATATTTTGAATTGTGATTTGCCTAGCAATGAATAAAGAAGTCTAGATATATAAAGATTTATTCACCTTCTGGCTTTAACTACTTATAACAGGGCATTCAATAGTCGACTATTGATAGTTTACCAATCTGTCAAATTCAGAGAATGATTAGAGCTCCCCTCTCTCTCTCTCTCGCTCTCTCTCTTTCTCTCTCTCTCTCTCCCCCACACCCCCCTTCCACCCCTTTTTATCACAACTTGCTTTGTCGGCATCTGTCTGCCCTCTCTTCACACTCTCCAGTGGCACTCTAATTTGGTAAATTATATTTTGTTAGCAAGGTGCAGCTCCGTGCATAAGGCGGGCTTTATTGGCATACATCACTAAATTACATCGTCGTACTTGACGGCGGACCGTGGACCGAAGACCGTGGCCCATTGCACGAATGGACCTCGTGCTGTTATTGCAGGGTGTTGTTGCTGCTGTCGTCTGAGTGCTCCGGGGCTGCCACAAGTTGTAGCCATAGTCTCTCGGGTGCCATTTCGCTTGTTGAAGTTTTTATGAGTCTGACTCGGCGACGGCGGTGGCGGCGGCTGCCTAGTCCGTCTACGACTTCTGCTCTAGCCCGGGCCGCTTCTGTATGCAGCCATGTGCAAGCGACCCCCAACTGCCGCTCCTGCTCTCACCTCTTGCCATGGGCAGCCTCATCGCCTTCGCCTTTGCCCTTTTGCCGTTTACTGTATTTACACGTACGACGACGCCGGCTCCTGGCTGCATTCCAGCGCCGGCCTGATGTCCATGCATGTTGGCGTCTTTATTACGGCGCGGCACTTAATAAACATTTGCATTACATTTTGTATGCTGTCTCCTTTTTTGTTTGCTCGCAGGTACGCAGGCGAGGCGCAAAAAGTGGCCATCACTTGCAGTTACAGGCTGTTTGTTGTTGTTGTTGCTGTTGTTGGCCTGGCTCGAGTGGCAACTTTATTTAAAACTTAGCCGGAACAATGCCAGACGACATCAGCAAATTTAGCAATTATGATATTATGAATCTCTCTAATTGCCAGCCAGGGGAGCCATAAAGAAACAATTGCTAATGCAAATAAATAATTTCCTGCTGACGTCGGAATGAAACAGAGCAGCAAGTGCGTAATAAGTTTAGCTGGACAAGCAACAAATAACTCCAAATATTTTATAATTGCAGCAAAGAATGTGCTCGGAATACCGGAGAGACCTTAAAACCCAACTGTGCCAAGTGACAGAGGTAAAGTCAGACGACAGCAGCTTTCATTTGGTGTCAATGCATAAAATTGTTGGGGTAGCTCTATAAATATGTAGGGTTCATATAATCTGAATATAGAACCCAAAAGACTCGGCATCTGATAATAAATTTGTTTACACCTGCCAAACCTATATAGATCGTTTAAAATAACCTAAACTCATTTGAAAGCGATCAAGAGAACTCTGAGAGTGAATATATTTAAGGGATTAATCCTAAAGGAAGCGCAGGCAACAGGCGTAAAACAACTATTCCAATGATGGAATTCACCTTCCTCAATGGGTCAACCTGCATGTTGCTATTGTTGTATTCATCAATCTTGTAGCTGGAGTCGAGAAGGAATAATTAAGTCTAAATATGTACATATCTAAATGTACTACTCTATTGCAACAAAATTTTCTATTTACAAGAAATATGTATGTACCCTTTTTCTATAGTTCGACGGATCCGGATCTGGCAACCCATCATCAACAAATCTACTTGCACCAAATAAAATGATAATCATTTTATCGCTAATATAAACAAAAATTGTGTTTTCCTTTGGTCTTTGGTTCCGTCAACCACAAACTTTCAAGAGAGCTGGCATCGATTGCGGACTGTGATCAACTACACACATAGTAAGTAATTCCAGTAGACAATATATGTACGATATTGTAAGTATTTCATAATATTATAAGACCGCTTCAAAAGCCTTTTGAAAGAATATTTCAGGCGGATTCTATTGTTTTATTGCTTGTTTGCACTCTCCATGCCTTACCTGTTGTTTCGTTATGTAGATTGGCTTGTTCAGCACAACCCAGGTGACGGTCTCGTGGCAGGCTGGAGCCGTTGTCGAGCCATCGTACGTCATGTAGTGGTCCGTGTCGGGCAGCAGTCCGCGTATGGAGAGCCGCTTCACAAAGACCTCATCGCCACCGTAACGAATGCGCTCCAGCTGGTCGGTCAGCATGCGCAGCTCGGGATTGGAGAGGTCGCCCAGCTAGCGGACAGTCAGTTAATACGCAGCTCTGCTTCAGGCAACAGCCAGTTCAGTTGTCAAGACTCACCTGCAGTAGAATGGAGACGCCGACGATGCCCTGGGCCCGGTTCAGTGCGTCTGAGAAATTTGCGTAGAGCTGGGAGTTGTAACCGAATATTTGTATCTGCAATGGCGAGCAGAAAAGGGCTTAATACGGCTTACGCTGTGTATGCGGATATTCGTAGATATTTGGGTATGACTGTCGTATAAGGATTAAGTATTCTATTTCATGTTCACATTCATATACTTGTTTGTCAGACAAATTTGATATGATGTCATATGGATACCTGATACATGCATTTAATAAGAAACATTAGCTTCAGGTTACTATGGCTTAAAGGTTCATAAGAATAGATTAGATTGATGCGCCGGTATGATAACCAATAAAAGTCAAAGCCCTGAATAATTTTATGGGCAACTCTTTATCTCAGGCTTACTCTCGTCACAGCTTTAAGATTCAAAGGAATACATTCTTGTATAACTCAAAACTGGAACAATCTCTCCGCTCTCCAAGAACTTTGAGCTAGTTTTCACCATATTGTTTCAGATGTTAAATTCCAATTTGCTTTAAGTTTGCATATTTGTGATGCAACAATAAAATACGCTCTGATATTTCCAAGAGAACCTTACATAATGCAAGCTGAGTTTTATTTGACTCTCCCGGACTACTACTCCAGCTCTACACCTAATCGATTTTACATCAACTTGTCTTGCCCATCCGACTGGACTTAGCTGTACATTCATTGCCTTATAACTAGATTCCACACCAGTCCATTGATCACGGCCTAATTGTGAAAGAACTTGCCGCACTCTCACGAGTCTGGCCCATTTAAAATTTTAAAAGGCTCCCAAATCTTTATGTCTGTGCTGGTTTGTTTTCGTTTGCAAAATGCTTGTAAATTTCGCCAATGATACATGAGGCAGCACAATCTGGGCTGGGCAGATCCTATCCAGCTACATTCACTCTGCAGGCGGCCCATTCGCGTACCTCCTAATGGAATGTGCTTTCCGTAGGCTGCTGCACTCGCTCTTAATAGCTGGCTCTGCTCTGAAATGCTTTGTTAAATTGAATTTGCCCTCTAATTCATCTCATGGGCATTGCACTCAGAAGGCATCAATTCGCTAGAGTTCGACTATTCCGACCATGGCCTCTCTTACTTAACGCTACGTTACTTTTTTTTCTTTTCAACAGTTTGTTCTGTGCGGAAATGCTTAAGGCCAGGTGCGTGTAGAGCAGTCAAATTCAAGTGAATGTCTGGCCTTTGCTGTAGTGGCTTTTGCCCACAATCTACTTTGTTGCGTCCTGCTCCATGGCCTTAGCAGATCTGACTATGTGTACACACACACACACTTATCGGAGATCCAAATTAACAAAATTACTTAACAGCTTCATTTTGGATATATGTACGTATGGAGGTGAAGTCATATTGTGAAATTCTAATTGGCGGATGTTTAATGTGTCTTTCTGCATTTGTGAACTATGAGGTATATTAAAGTCAGGCTCTCCTCACAAAGTAGATATCTTTTTGCAAACAGAATAATGAAATTCAAGCATGAGAAAAATTAATGAATATTTGTATTGCATTTAATAATTTCTAGTGAAGCGGAGGGTGGATATACATATATATATATATATTTTTTTTTTTTTCAAGATTGTCATTGATGTTGAACTTTTGCGACAGTATTTAATTGTAAACACGCCTGAGCATAATAACACAACAAAATAACACAAAAAAAATAAATAAATAAATAAATAAAAAACAAAGTAAGGTGCAGCGTGGGGGATAACCGATTGTGTGATGCCCGTTCATGGCCCAACAGCCACCTAATTAATATAAAATACAATTTGATATTTAATGTAAAGCACTGTTGTTATGTGCTGTACCCTGTTTTGCTTTACTGTGTTGAAATTCAGCTCAATTAATTTAAAAATCACAAGCTGAAGGCGCCAGTAGCCAATGCTTTACTCTATAGGTCAGTTTTAATTTGATATTATCTTTAGCCTCTAAATAAATAGGTAAATAAATCTGAAAATTATCTCTAGTAATGCTAATGAGTAATAAGCAATGAGTATAACACTAAATTTACTTCCTTACCAAATCATATATCATTCAATTTTGTTATACAATCAATACGCATTCAAAATTTGAAGTCTCTAGCTTCAAGAGCTATAAAGCCAATATACTCCTTTCATTTGGCTAACGAGTATGAAAACAAATAAGGTACTCTAAGTTGCTAATGCTCATCTAGAAGATACTCTGAGCACACAGCCCGGCCGCCGTAACAAACACTCAAACTTTCCTTCATACACATACACACACACACATATGCTTACCAGGCAAATACATACACTCACACTCACGCACACGCACACACGCACTCGCAGAGCCATAGCGAATCACGCGAGAAGCTGTGTGCTTGTGTGGGTCAACAACAGTTGCGCACTTTACACAGCGGTTCCAGTGGTTGGAGCAGCCCCCTCTATGGGAAATGAATTCTTAAAGTCGAATCCTTATGAAATTTTCAGTTCAAGGCTCTAGGACGAAAAACGTTGAGCGTTGAGAGTGGGGAGTAGGGAGCGGGGAGGAAGGCGAAGTTATATGAAAAGTCAAATATTATGCATTTAATTAATGTTATATGAGAAGCTGTCAAACTGTGACTAAACTGTGATATGTGCCAAAGCAAATGTGTCTTAAGCTCAATTGATGAATCACAACGGATTAAGTTGATTTCAAAGAGCTCGCAGCACTGCATTGGATTGTATTGAAAAATGAATAAATTCCAAATTCGCATGTATTTCATTTACAGTTTAATAGCACGAAACCAGTTATTGGACAAGACAAGTCTGCTGAAGTCTTAAGAATGAACATGAAATATAAATTAATATGAAAACACCAGTTTGTAGAAGAAATACAGAATTTCCTTTTAGTATAGATAAAACATAAAACACATATATGTCATAGAGTATTCCTCTAAGAAATATTTTCAGTTTAACAAAATTTTTTATTTTTTTTTTGTCGGCTTCGCCCAGCTCGTGCAAAGTTTGCAATACTTTTCGGCAAGTGTATAAATATTCATTTAAATATGAAAACTACATGCTGCAATTTTAATGTGTGCCCAGTAAGGCAAACAGAAATTAAATTAAATTAAAATTTCTAAAGTTGTTGAGTGTTGAGCTGGCTGCCACAAAGAAGCACATGCAAATAAAGGAGCCGAGGCACAAACCGTAAATGCAAATGAAATTTTGACGAGTAAATTGCAACACAAATTGTGTGAGTTAATGGCACAGACTGCTCGAGCTGTGCAGTGCTGCCAGCAGTGCGTTCTCAAACGAATTACTTATCCCAATCACATAAAGGCTACTCAGAGCAACACGTCCTCGGCTGTTCCCCGTGCTCTTAAAGCTCTAAGCAATATGGCATCAAATGTCGCATTGAAACGGTTATACTGAAAAGCGCTTGAGCACCTGTTGGCCCGATTAGACAATACATTTAAGCGCGGTTAAACAAGAGACAAGCGACTGTTCGATTGGCCAATGCCAATGGTTAAGAGAAAAGAGCTAATAAGCTTCCTTTTGTTTTCTTCTTAATCGGCAATGGGAAAGAGCAATCTATCTAAAATACATGTAAAAGAGCCGTAGATGTTCTCTAAGTCGATCTAGAATATTGTCTCTCCATCAAAAACCTTTTAATTTGGGCATTTTACCTTTGTCTATTTACTATGCCGTCTCTCTCTCTCTCTCTCTCTCTCTCTCTCTCTCGAATATACATAATTTATGATTATTTAAAATTAATAAATATACACAAAGTGACACTAAAACGCATTTCAATTGACAATTATGAATTGTCGAAAAAAAAAAAAAAAACAACAAAAATTTGATTCGCATGTGTGTTGCAGGGTATAGAAATGCTCTGCTATATTTACCGCAAAGTAAAATGTTATACTTCCGTTTCATTAAACAGCAAAGCGTGCGGCAGCAGCAGCAACAACAAAATACAGCATATACTAGCAAATAGCCGGACAGAAGCCGAGTGCCAGCAGGCAACAGCCACAAGGCCTAGTCCCCTCCCCTGCTCTCCACCCCTCTCTCATTCTCTCTCTCTATGCTTCTCCCCACTCAGTCTAAGCCCAATTTGTTTGTCTGTTTGCTCAAAGAGAAGGCAATATACAAAGCAAGCTCTCGGCATGCTGCCTGGACAACATAAACACACACACACATATGTACGTGCATATACACTGACACACACACACACAAAACAACAAATCGACAAACAATCGGACACGCAGACAGGGTAGAGAAAAGGCAACTTAATCAGATCAATTACACATGTTTTTACTGCATGGATTGCAGGCTTGTCGACTCTGTATAGTCCGAGCCAGGTCGTAGCTCAAGCCAAAGCCCTGGCCAACAGGCCCAGCGACCCAACAATGCCTCAGCTACAAATGGCCTCACTTTACTCCAACAATAACAGTGGTTGGCAAACGATATAATATGCACTTTTGTATTGAAAGCTTTTGAGTTTCACTGAAGAACTGAAATCTTTGACATTAGTGTACCTATTCTAAGCTAGATAACGCTTTCATGATATATGATATATGATATATGATATATAATATATAATATATGATATATGATATATGATATATGATATATGATATATGATATATGATATATGATATATGATATATGATATATGATATATGATATATGATATATGATATATGATATATGATATATGATATATGATATATGATATATGATATATGATATATGATATATGATATATGATATATGATATATGATATATGATATATGATATATGATATATGATATATGATATATGATATATGATATATGATATATGATATATGATATATGATATATGATATATGATATGATATATGATATATGATATATGATATATGATATATGATATATGATATATGATATATGATATATGATATATGATATATGATATATGATATATGATATATGATATATGATATATGATATATGATATATGATATATGATATATGATATATGATATATGATATATGATATATGATATATGATATATGATATATGATATATGATATATGATATATGATATATGATATATGAT